TTTTGCATATAAGTTAAATAAGCAGGGAGACAATATACAGCCTTGTCGTACTCCTTTCCCAACTTTGAACCAATCAGTTGTTCCATATCAAGTTCTAACTGTTGCTTCCTGTCCCACGTATAGATTTTTCAGGAGACAGAGGAGGTGTTCAGGCACTCCCATTTCTTTAAGAATTTGCCATAGTTTGTTGTGGCCCACACAGTCAAACACTTTTGCATAGTCAATGAAGCAGACGTAGATGTTTTTCTGGAACTCTCTGGCTTTCTCCATAATCCAGTGCATGTTAGCAATTTGGTCTCGAGTTCCTCTGCCCCTTTGAAATCCAGCTTGTACTTCTGGGAGTTCTCGGTCCACATACTGCTGAAGTTTACCTTGTAGCATTTTGAGCCTAATCCATGAAGGGGAGGCAGCTATGTAGACCACTTTAAACTAGTGGCAAAGAAAATAGGACATAGGTACTTCAAGCTAGCATTGGGAGCTGCAAAATCATGGAGCTGGACGGGGGACAGTGTGGTCACTCTTGAATTGGCCTTCTCAGCAACACTAGACATTGTTCCAAGTCCTCCATACAGGGCAGGCTACCATAGTCTCTCGAGACTGAAGGATGCCTAACTAACTACCCATTGAGAGAGGATGAATCTGGCTGATACTGGACTGGAAAAGTGGTAGCCTGGTTAAGCCCCCCCCCCTTGAGTTCCATCATTTAACTGTTGAATGACATCTTCTGATGCCAGACGTCTATGGCCACATGAATTATTTTTTGCTGTTTGTTTATATGTTTACATCTCTTTAGTTGCAGTGTTGAAGTTGGGATACCTGGTAGACATGATAGTTCTACTCAACATGTTGAAAGCATAGTTCAGTAGTGAGAGTGTGGACCAGAGGTTATTGTCTTCAAAAAGGACTTTGTGACCACATAACCATCAAACTCACTGGGTGACATAGGGTCATGTAACAAATTAAAAAAAACTAACTACAAATTAGTGGCTTCTAAATACAATGTTAGGAAGCACTGATAGTTCTACTATTGCAGTGAAATAAACTTGCTAGAAGCTGCTTTTCAGTATGTTTTTTTCTTAAGTCATCTGTTACAGAACCTCATCTTCAGATACCTACAGAATGTAAGTAAACAACAGCAACCTTGCTTTTAATCTTCAAGAATGAATTTGAATAAGTAGTGATATTCAGAATATTATTTTCTTCACAGCTTGGAACTGATCCCCTGCAGATATGTAGTCTGGTTGTATTGCAAAGATTGTGGTTAACCAAAATAAAAATAGAGACCTACAGTGGGGTCTTGACTTGAGAACTTAATCCGTATTGGAAGGCGGTTCTCAAGTCAAAAAGTTCTCAGGTCAAATCTGCATTTCCCATAGGAATGCATTGAGAACCATTTGATCCGTATCTGCTCTTTTCCGTCCTAAGTAGTGATATTCAGAATATTATTTTCTTCACAGCTTGGAACTGATCCCCTGCAGATATGTAGTCTGGTTGTATTGCAAAGATTGTGGTTAACCAAAATCAAAATAGAGACCTAAATGAAACATTAGGTAAATTTATTTTCCCTTCTCTCTCCCTCTATGTATTGACACTGCTCAAAGCCCAGGTTGAGAGGTGAATTCTTGGCCCTCTTAAGAGTTAGTTTGGGGGTACATGGAGGATTGGGAAGGGTAGATTTTTAGTTCCCATTTCTGCTGGATTCTGTTCATGCAGTGGCTTCCAGCCTAGGGTCTCCTGATGTTGTTAGACTAAAACTCCCAGAAGACTTCACTAGCTATGCTGGTCAGAATTTCTAGGAGTTGTAGTCCAAGAACATTTGGAGACCCAAGACTGAGAACCACTGATCTAATGGAAGTCCAATGTTGTATGTTGTCCATTATTTAGATAAAGTTTCTTATATAGTAGTTTAGATTTTAAGAACAAGTGGCATGTTTAAATACATAATTAAACATTAGGTTATGTTCTAATACTGTACATTGTCTTAAATAATACTTCACATATCATCCAAAGAGATCTTTGCTTTGAGAAAAACATTTCATTAAATTCAAAAAAGAGAAAAGAAATCATAATCACTTCTATCTGAATCTTTTTCCCAGAAAATAACATGAATGGGTGGGATATAATTTCAGTCCTACCTTATCAGATGGCCCAGGGGGCCAGAATCTACACAGTTCAATTTATGAAGTCCTCTTAGGAACAGTTGTATAAGTAGCTTCTTTGTTTACTTTGTAGAGGTCCAGGATCCAGGTATGGCTGTATGAACAAGTCAATATGCGGATAGAAGGTTGTATAATTGTGAGTACAGCAATTGCTTTTTCTCTGGTATGCGCAGATATAGACAGAATCAGGAAAGACCCTTTCAACCTGAATAGTCAGTTGAAAAGTGGATCTTGTTGGTTCAGCTTTCAACTGACTTTCAGTTCTCATTGTGACATCAGATGTGATGTCATTGTATATGGTTAGATATACTGAAAGTCAGTTGAAAGCTGAACCAATGAGATTGGTTCAGCTTTCAACTGATTTTCAGTTCTCATTGTGACATGAGATGTGATGTCATTGTATATGATAGCACTTTGTTGAGTGCTATCATTTGTTAGCACTCAACAAGAGTGTTTTGTTCAACGATAGCCGTCAACAAAGTGCTATCCATATACAAATATGCATTCTCTGTCTATTTTTCCACACACATTCTTGAAACTACTTGCCATATCTTTTAGAATCTAAAAGATTGCTTATCTTTTAGAATCTAAAGGATTGCCATATCTTTTACAATCTTAACTTGATCCTGAATATCTCACTATGGCTAAAGTTATTTAGCATGTAGATCAGTAGATATTATTGAAATAGTACAACATGTAGTTACACCTTTATGTGCTAATTCAGGGGTCTCCAAACTACACCCCACAGGTCACATCCAGCCCGCTTTGCCTTTTTATACGGCCCGGCAAACACCGCAGGCTAAGGTCCTTTCCCTTCAGCCCATGTGTACGTGTGTGTTCCTTTGGCCCTCGAAAATGTGTAAAACATATTATGTGGCCCTCATGCTGAAAAGTTTGGAGACTGCTGTGCAAGAGGATGGCAAGGAATCAAGATATACTTGAATAATCCTAACTATAAATAAATATATTGGTCAAAATCCTGTAGCTTATGAACTTTTATGTTCCATATGAACCTACCCGGCAGTTAAGATCTAGCCAGGGGGCCCTTTTGAAAGAGCCGCCCCTTACGGAGGTAAGAGGGATGGCTTGTAGATAAAGGGCCTTTTCGGCAGCTGCCCCCAGACTATGGAATGCCCTCCCGACTGAGATTCGTCTGGCGCTGACGCTGATGACATTTCGGTGCCAGGTCAAAACCTTCCTGTTCCAGAAGGCTTTTAATTGAAATAATATTAGCTGTGGGTCTGATGGCTATTTTAATTGTATTTTAATTATTTCATCTTTTACTGTATTGAATTTTAATTATTGTAAGCCGCCCAGAGACCTCTGGGTAGTGTGGACGGCATATAAATTGAATAAATAAATAAATAGCTTATTTAGGATTTGTGCACAACAATGAATTCAAGAAATAGTTACTTACTACCTAGTGGCAATTTACCACTACGATTTCACCAGCATAAATCAAAAGGATTCTGGCTAGACTTTTGTTCCTTAAACAAGTCAGGCCTATTGCTTAGTCGTCATCACTAGAAATATATGAACAGAGTCTAAGTCAATGGTGCCACAACATTTCTTGAACAGTTTTGGTAATGAAAGTTGATGTGTGTAAATATGTGGTGACAACACCAATACAGTTCCTGTGTTTTTGATTACAGGGATTTGATGAATATATGAACCTGGTTCTGGATGATGCTGAGGAAATTCATTCCAAGACAAAATCAAGGAAGCAATTGGGTGAGTATATTTTCTTTTTATACTGTTCACTGAATGTCTTACTCTTTGTCATTAGGGAAAAGCCAGTGGGATCTTTAAATTTTACTGGAAATCCATCTTCAACATCTCTGTTTTGTACTATAGCTATTGTAGCTACAGACTAAGTAAAGAAGATTGCTAGTATGGAAATCAATTTGAATTGTTGTGGTGTGGCATACGTATTCTCCTTTAAGATAGTTAAATTGTTCTTGTAGGAGTCAAGAAGTTGAATCCCCTCAACATTATTTGAGCCTTTCTAGCTTATTTCTACTGCTTTCACAATTATTTGGTTAGGAAGATAAAGGCTGGGTGTTCTAGTAAATTGCTTTCTGATTTGTTTTCCCAAAGTGGAATTTGTGCCAACACACACTATTGCTTGTGTCACCTTGAGTAAAACCAGTCTGAATAACTGGGCTATGATCTTACCATCTTAGAAAGAAAGGGACTCTTTTATTAAGTGGAATGGAGAGTATTTCACTCCTTTTTGAGATCTATAAGAAATTACTTCAGTATAAAATTACAGTTCTATATATGTTGACAGGCCTAGAAAAGTTCTGTAAGAATTGATGAACCAAAGTTTGCAGAAAGAGTCTTTATTTATTTATTTATTTATTGCATTTATTGCATTTATATGCCGCCCATCTAGACATAGTCTATTCTGGGCGGCTCACAACATAAAAGATAAAACAATTTAAAATATACACAGTTTTACATAAATAAAAAAACAGCGATATAACATATAAATCGTAGATTTACAATTTTAACAATTAGTTTAAAGCAAACAGTCGCAAGATGGCATGAATCAAAAGAAAAGAAATAAGAAGAGTCACTTAATTGACTGAAGGAAAGGCCTGCTTGAATAGCCAAGTTTTCAACTGGGTTTTGAAAATGCCCAGCGAGGGTGCCAGCCAAATTTCGGTAGGGAGGGTGTTCCACAGCCGAGGGGCCACCGCTGAGAAGACCCGGTTTCTTCTTTTTTCCTTCCGGGCCTCCCTCGGCGTCAGACCCCTCAGCCGTCCCTGCTGGCTATGTCGGGTGATTCGGGTAGATTTGGGTGGGAGAAGACAATCTGCCAGATATTGAGGTCCCAAACCGTTTAGGGCTTTATATGTAATCATTAACACTTTGAAGGCAACGCAGAAACGGACGGGCAACCAGTGCAAAGCAGCCAGAGTGGGGGAGATATGTTGGTGTTTTCTCACCCCACTAAGAAGCCTGGCTGCCGCATTCTGGACCATCTGAAGTTTCCGCGTCAGCCTCAAAGGTAGCCCCACGCAGACTGTGTTACAATGGTCTAATCTCGAGATTACGCACGCGTGGACTAGAGTAGTGAGGGCCCCCCATCAAGATAGGGTCGCAGCTGGGCAATCCGCCATAGATGAAAATAGGCGGAGCGGAGCATGGACGCCACCTGGGTTTCCATAGTAAGCCAGATGTACCCCCCAAGCTGCGGACCTCACTCTTTGCGGCAAGGGTCATCCCCCCAAAAGAAAGGGAGTTACCTATACCGCTGATGGAAGGACCACCCTCCCTCAAGACCTCCAGCTTGTCCGGGTTCAGCCTCAACCCATTCAACTGCATCCATTCCAATAGTTTCCAGGCAGCGCTGAAGGGACGGGATGACATCCACTGAGGTAGATGAAAAGGAGATGTAGAGCTGTGTGTCAGCAGCATACTGGTGACACGATGCCCCACACCCCCTGATGACCCCGCCTAGCGGCCTCATATAGATGTTAAACAGCATTGGAGAGATTATCGACCCCTGCAGAACCCCAGAGTTGAGACTCCACGGGGCTAAGACACTCTCCCCAAGCTGAACTCTCTGGGGACGGTCCTCCAAGAAGGAACAGAGCCAGGCAAGCGCCAGGCCACCCATTCCCAACTCAGAGAGCCTCCCCAGGAGGATACCATGGTTGACTGTATCAAAGGCCGCCGAGATGTCGAGGAGGACCAACAAGGACATATTGCCCCCATCGGCCTCCCTAATCACCTCATTCAGCTGAGCAAGTAACAAGCTGACCAGTTTGATTTAATCCAGCTGTGGAAACAAAATGCTGAGGTAAAACCCTGGCAAAGCTAATACCTGATTGGCCAGTGGGGGCAATAAAGTAGATAGCCTTTGAGCACTGTTTGTTGGGCTCGAACAAGGAGAGACAGAAGGAGATACTCTGAAGGATTGATTTATAATGCTGAATATGTGCTTATGTATATTTCTGTATAAAGATGGCCTGTTTGCTGTATGAAATGCTGTAGTGTATCCAGCATAATATAGGGACTGCAATCCAGAGGTCAGTATATGTGTGCTGACACACAAACAGGCAGAACTCTCTGCACAGTTTTGTGCAGAAGCAGCTTCTTTTGCCCACAAGCAGTGCGTAACTGGCTTTCTCATCTATCAGAACAATTAACTACAAATATGTAGTTTGGAAGCTAATGTTGAGAAAGTGTCCTTGGAAGCCATTATCCTACCATGGCCAGAAGCTGCAGTAATAAAAAGATTATTTGATAGTTACCTGTGCATGTGATTTCTCCTGTAAAATTAAGTTTTACATACTTAGTCATCTGCACAAAACTTGCAGTTATGAATAAGGCTTGATTTTTGGTAACGTGGTCTCCTATGGATAGCAGTACTTAAGTTGCACTTTGATTTATGTTTTTCAAATCCACTCAGCACTGCTGAGTGTGTGATAAAAGAGTTGTAGTTCTGTATCATTGCCTACCGTGTGCTGTTTCTCTATCATATCTGGAGCTCTGTCTTGGGACCACTTAGAGGCTACAGTTGCATTTCCCTTCCTTATGGGTTTTGGACATTGGGCTGCCTTTCACTATTATAAATAAAACCAATCCAGCTATTGTGCTGGATTTTATGTATAAGCTTTACAAAGGGTGGGACTTGCTTATTTAAGGAGTATCTCTTTTCTCATATTCTATTTTGAGGGTTTTAGTAAAATTACACTTAACACTTTTCTGTAAACCGCCTTGTAAGCATTTGTTTGGAGCAGTAGAACATATAGCAACTTTTAAAAAGCATTCCAGTAACAAATACCAGCATTCCAAGAAAGTTATCAAAGGCTCCTTGGCTCTTCCATAGATGTAGAATTGCTTTCCCAGGAAGTTTGCCAAAAAGGGTGTTTCACCTTCACATCTCAGGAAGTATTAATGAGGCTTTATGTACAGGATTTTAAAAGAATATTTGCAGTGATTCTGATCTGCATAAATATTTGTATCTCACAGTGTTCTTGGGTTACCAGAACAATTTAAGTAAGGAAACACTATACTTGGGGGCATGAGAACATAAGAATATAGGGGGGAAATGTGTTTAGGTAAGGTCTATGTAATATTGTCATCTTAGCATTAATAATAGCTATTCATTATGTGTCCTTGCTATGTATGTAGATTATGAATGTAGGTAGAAACTGAATAAAAACATTAGTGCAACAAGAGCATTTTCACTCACGCTAATTTTTTTTTCTCTTGCAGGTCGGATTATGTTAAAGGGGGACAATATTACCCTTCTACAAAGTGTTTCTAACTAGATATTACTATCTAGTGTGTTTTGCTTCTTATTTTCATCTTTAACCTGTAGAAGAAAACGTGTGATTGTTGCTGTCACTTCTGACCTTGATGTCTGAGAAGAAAGTAAAGAATGATGCCAGTTACTTAGTTCATGTTTGTATAGTTCTCAGTCATTTTTTATATTGGCATAGACTTGTATTAATAAACATTTTTTGTTAATACATCTTTCTTTCGTATCATCCAAAAAGCACCTTGTGCAGAAATCTTTACAAATTCTGCAGTGAGCTAGAAAAAATTGTTCACCACAGATTACACAGGTACACTGGATGCAAAACTTGAAAACAGTTGTGGGGGACAGGTGGCCCCAGAATATGTACAGTGGGGTCTTGACTTGAGAACTTAATCCGTATTGGAAGGTGGTTCTCAAGTCAAAAAGTTCTCAGGTCAAATCTGCATTTCCCATAGGAATGCATTGAGAACCATTTGATCCGTATCTGCTCTTTTCGCATGGTCAGTGGTGAGGGGTGATAAGAATTGCAATTCTGCAGAATATGAAGTATGCTACAGTCCCTATCCTTGATTTAAAATATGCATGTTTTAACATAACAAGCACAAGCCAAGAAAATGATCTATAAGTGGGAAGAGTGGATCCCATGTATTGGGAAGAAATATGATACCTTGTGAATTGAAAATTGTTGAATAGAGAACTTATAGCTCCTCAGACAGGACTGGCCTTACCATTAGATGGAGTGAGATAGCCAGTCACCATGAGCAGAAAATTTGACATGTACCATAGCCTGGGGTGACCCATGCCACTGTGGATCGCAATCTAGAGCTTCCTACATCTCAAATGCCAGATTCAGAGCAAGGCATTATAGGCCAGGAGTTCTAGGAAATGGTTGTACTTTGGTCCAGGGAATTTCTAGGCTTGCAGACATTTAGGAAGTAGCCAGGTCCAGATAACACATTGCTATGTGCAGTGGTGCCTCAACTTACAAACATCCCTACTTATGACCATTTCAAGTTACAACCAGCTCCGGCTGCAAAATTTTGCTTCTACTTGCAACCAGAGCTTCCACTTATGAACAGAAAAAGACTGGAAATTCAAATTGCTAACTGTAGGTCAGGGGTGGGCAATTAATTTCTATGGGGGGGCCACATGAAAAATCTGAACTGTGTTCAGGGGGCTGAACCAACTTTACTTAAAAATAAAATGAAACAGTGATGTTATGATTGTTTTTATTTTAAACTTGTTAATCTTCACAAATACTAAAGAGATTTTTTGCGGTATGTTAAAGATAAGCAACTGATCAATTTTAGACAAAAAGCTATAAATGGTTTTAATGTTCAAAACTGTCCGCAGGCCAGACAATAGCAGTTCGCAGGCCGTATGTGGCCCTCGGGCTGCACTTTGCCCAGGTCTGCTGTAGGTGGTGACGAGGCTGCTTCTTTGTAGCTTTTTCGCCCCAGCAGTTAGTGTGCGCCATTGTCGGAGGCTTGGGACTGCCTCCTACTTCTGAGAGTGTGTGTGTGTGTGTGTTTGCAGGGAGGCTTTGGGCCGCTTTGTAAGGTAAAGTGCTGTTTTCTGCTTTTTAAAAACTCTTCTGGGTGTTTTTGCAGTGTGGTTTTGAGCTGGGGGGTTATGTTTCTGTGCTGTGATAGGTCTTGGGGGGTTGTTTTTGGGTTTTTTCCCATTTCCAATGGGTCTTTGGGTTTTTTGTTGCTTTTTGGAGTTTTCCCATTTCCGATGGGTCTTGGGTTGTTGTTGTTTTGCTCCCCCCATGGGTCTTGGGGGGTTGTTTTTTGTTTCCCCCCATTTCCGATGGGTCCTGGGGGGGGTTGGTTGCTTTTTGGGAGGATTTCCCCATTTCCAATGGGTCCTGCATGCTTCTCTTGCGTTTTCCTTTGTTTTCTTTCCATTTCCAACCTGCCTCTTTGTTCTCTGTGCATTTCCCATCTGCTCCGTTTATTTTCTGTGCATTTCCAATGGTTCTTGCACACTTGATTGCTTCCCCCCCCCCTTCGGCCGGAAGGGATTAATTGCGTTTCCAATGAGTCTTGCAGTTATTTCTTTTTCCTTTTTCTTTAAAAAAAAATTTATGATGATGCCGACTTTTTTCTTCAGCCGAAACAGATTAATTGCTTTTAAATGCATTCCTATGGGAAATGGTGCTTCATCTTATGACCATTTCAAGTTACGTCCCTCTTTTGGAATGGATTATCGTTGTAAATGGAGGCACCACGTACTGTGATTGATACAACCCTATGCAATGTTCTCCCAATATCTGGTGATGGCAATATAATGCTTCAGTTTCACTGCAACTGGCAGTAGGAGAGTTTTAGCTCTTCCTGCCTCCAAATGTAGTTAGACTACAAGTCCCATCAGCCCTCATCCTTTGCTAGCTCTCAGAAGTTGCAGTCCAACATGTGGATGGGTGCATTTTCCCCCATCCTAGCTTAACCTTATTGGTGAGAATGATAGCAATTGAAGAGCAAAGGATCCTCTCTATGCAGAGCTTTAAAAGCTTGAAACAGTAAGTATATAGATACTAAAAAGGATAAAACAAATACAGTACACTAAAAAGATGGTAAAAAAGCAGCACCAAACACATTCAGAGCAGTAGGGCACAACAATCCGCATAAAAACCCCACTCAAGCAGCCAGTCACTAAGGGAAGACATGCCTGAAGAGAAAAGTCTTCACCTGCTTGTGGAAGGACAGCAAAGCCAGCCTAGCCTCCTATGGGAGGGAGTTCCAAACTCTGGGAGCAGCAACAACTAAGGCCCTCTCTGGTGTCTCCACCAAATACACACCTGTGAAGGTGGTGGGACTGAGAGAAGGTCCTTTCCAGATGAACAACACCCAGGCAGGCTCATAAGGAGAAACATGGTTGAGATAGCTATTAGATTGGCTCTAAGTAGACTCCAATTTTATGGAACTTAACACACCAAAAACACTGAAAATTATGCTCTTTGCCTTCTGCATGCATAACAGCAACAGTTTCCACCAAAATGTAATTTGGTTCCATCAGCTATGTTTGAGTGGTTACTGATGTATCTTTCCACAGGCAGACATTTCTGATGCATTACTGCAGTGTCTAATAACCACCTGTCCTGGCAGCATGAGAACCTTGTTTGGAAGTGTGAATATTGCTAAGTAGCTGGGAAGAAAGGGTGCACAAGGGCAGAAATAAAACTGATTGTTTACTAGTGGCAGGAATACCTAAGTCCATAGATAAATCTTTAAATGATAATTAGGTGTTCTTTACCATGTTTTTGTCAGTCAGTTCTTGAAAGTAACCAGCTCTGAGTGATAAAAGGAACAGCATGCTTGTTTCAGCATTTATCTCTTCTTGCTGCTTATTTGTTCCTCCATTGTTGTGATAGTATCAGAATCAATGCTGTATCTTTCCTGTTAATTTGTACAAGGAATGTAGTGTAAGCTAATCAACTCAACTGTGGAGATCTTTTTTTTTTGTTAATGCTGGCTTTATGTATAGTAATTACACAGAAACCTGGTGCTGCAGTTGTACTGAAAAGCTGACTGACTGCATAGCTATATAATGAATCAGGTTTTAGACTTTAAGAGAAAGTAAGTATGGAATCTCATGGAACAATGGTCTAGCCATGTAAGAACATCTCAAATTACAGTCTAGTCCATTCTACAGGGACAAATGTGGAAACAGTTGATCTCTTTGCATTGTACAAAAAAAAAGATTTTCAGAGGAAGAATGGATGGGTCAGGGTGAAAGTGAAGGATGAAGGTGAAGGTTGTTTGTTGCCACAGACTTGAATTTTGCTCACAGCTGCATATATTACTTTTCCTTCCAAATACTTAATTTTGCTCTCTGAACATATCTGAGATTCCCTAGACATCTTAATAATTTTTTAATTTCCCCCCTTTTTATATACAGTATTAGTCCAAGTCAGGTGGGAACCCTTCAGATCTTCCAATGTTCTGGTCTATAACTCCACAATGCCTTTCTGTTATCCATCCAATAAAGTGCTAGTGGAAGCTGGAGGTCCCTAAGGTTCCTTTATTAGCTCTGTTTATTATCTGGAGCTAAGCACCTCTGGAGGAAATAAATAACACTGACTTACTCTGTTATAGATGCATCCTCCTGCCATTGTTGGAGCACCCTGATCACAATATCTGTAGGAATCATTGGTGCTTTTGTATCCAAGAGTTTCTTTCTGCAAGTGATCAAAACCATCCTTATCTCTACTTTCCTACCCATTAGTCCTCATCATAAGCTTCCCTCATCCTCCCCACCCTTCCCAGAACACTTGTCTGATAGCATTAAATCTCTCCTCTTATTGATCAGTTGCATGAAGCTTGCATGCAACTCACCTACTGAAGCTAAGCCTAAATACATGTGACTTGGCACATATATGCGTTGATTTTGACCTTTGCCCACCTTTGTACCTGTTTGCCTTTGCCTCTTAAGGGCAGGGTCAGTATTGTATTCTACTCTATATCGTATAAACCAAAACATGCACATAATGTTTAGCACTGCCCTGTCATTGCTGATTTCTAATATTCAAAAATTTCAGTTTTTAAGTTCTGTGGTACCTATACAGGACATTGGCTTTCTGCAGTGTATGGCTGTATACTTCCTCTAAAGTAGCAAACACAGTATATATCTTCCTAAATGCCTAAGTAGTGTCACTATTAAATCTTAGTGTTATCTCTTGATTCCTGAATTCCGTCTGTTGCATAACAGTAACTCTGAGCAAGATGTATTGTTTTCACAGTTAAGCAAGAACTGACCATACAAGAATGGGATTGGGTTGTGTAAATGGGTTGAGAGAAATGCATCATACAACACACTCTAAACTGTGATTGAAAAGTCTTAGCTTTCCTGGACAGCAGGGGGCATAGCTGTATTTGGCAAGAATAGGCTTCCTTGTATTGAAGCAAAGTTCCTGCAGCATTTGTTTTTTTTTCTTTTATTGGCTTCACAACAAAATGGAAGAAAGATGGATTGGAGTTGCAAGGTGTAAGGCTATTCTCACTGGTGCTGTAGCAAGAAAAAAAAAGGTGCATGCTTCTTTCTGATCACTGCTTTGCAAAATCATGTTGCTGAGTAGGAGAAGATCCATCCTTGTCATTCCTAAGAGCAAAGAAGAACACCAACATTTTTAAGTTAAACTTTCCTAACTTTCTGCTTCATTGTTGTGTTTGTATTGCATATATGTTCTACCCCTCTCTACATGCAAGC